TCTTTTTTGTTGATCAAGTACCTGATAGCTGCATGGTCGGTATAGACTATGACTCTCATCCCTAGCAAATAAGCTCTGAATTTGTCAAATGCAAATACAATTGCCAGCATTTCCTTCTCTGTAGTGGTGTAGTTAACTTGTGCAGAGTTAAGGGTTTTACTAGCATAGTAAACCACATGTAACACCTTGTTCCTTCTTTGTCCAAGTAAAACACCAACTGCAAAATCACTTGCGTCACACATTAGTTCAAAAGGTTGTGACCACTCGGGTGTGATGATCACAGGTGCGGTGATGAGTTTGTTTTTCAATTCAGTGAATGCATTTAAACAGGATTCATCAAAAATAAAAACAGTGTCCTTTTCAAGCAAATTGCACAAAGGTTTAGAAATTTTTGAAAAATCTTTAATGAACCTCCTGTAAAAACCAGCATGGCCTAGGAAGCTTCTCACTCCCCTGACTGTGGTTGGTGGGCTGAGCTTCTCAATGACTTCAATCTTTGCCTTATCCACTTCAATTCCTTCCTGTGAGATCTTATGCCCCAAGACAATTCCCTCAGTTACCATAAAATGGCATTTCTCCCAGTTGAGAACCAGGTTGGCTTTTATACATCTTTTCAGTATCAGCCCAAGGTTGTCCAAACATGCATCAAATGACTTACCAAAGACCGAAAAATCGTCCATAAAGATCTCAATTATGTCTTCCACCATATCAGAGAAAATGGCCATCATACATCTTTGAAAAGTTGCCGGTGCATTGCACAGTCCAAATGGCATTCTCTTGAAGGCAAATGTGCCATAAGGGCAGGTGAAAGTCGTCTTCTCTTGATCATCAGGGTCTATGGCAATCTGGTTGTAACATGAGAAACCATCAAGGAAACAATAATACATGAATCCAGCTAATCTATCCAACATTTGATCAATAAAAGGAAGGGGAAAGTGGTCCTTTCTGGTAGCTTTATTAAGCTTTCTATAGTCCATGCACACTCTCCATGAATTGTTCAGCCTTGTAGGGATTAGCTCCTGGAGGTCATTCTTTACCACTGTGATTCCTCCCTTCTTGGGGACGCATTGCACTGGACTCACCCACTTGCTGTCAGAGATTGGGAAGATAATCCCTGCATCCAGCAATTTGATTATCTCCTTTTTCACCACTTCCTTCATGACTGGGTTGAGTCTTCTTTGTCCTTCAATGGTTGGCTTGGCGTCATCTTCAAGCAGGATTTTGTGCATGCATATGGAGGGGCTGATGCCCTTAATGTCAGCAATTGACCACCCAATGGCTTCCTTGTGCAACCTCAGTACTCTCAGCAATTTGTCCTCTTCAGTACCTGTAAGCATAGAAGAAATGATTACAGGTAAGGTGTTACTTCCTCCAATATAGGCGTACTTCAAATGTGAGGGCAGAGGATTAAGCTCGAGATGAGGTGGTTCTTCAGTTGAAGGTTTGAGGCATCTTCCTTCCTTGATCAGATTTATCAGTTCAAAGGGTTGCTGTTTAGGATGCCACTTGGGGGAGTGGTTCAGGTAGCTCAGGCAAGTGGCCCTGTACTCATCCCCTCCTTCCTGTTCCTCATTATAGTCTGGGCACAAAAGTTCCTTGAGGAGATCATCTTGCAGTAATTCTTCCGTTACTGCTTCCTCTGCTTCTACATTTCTTACCATGTAGCAGTCGTGGACTTCAGCGGGATATCTCATATTTTTGAAGATGTTAAAGGTAACCTTCTCCCCATCAAAGTGCAGTGTGATTTCTTCCTTTTTCACCTTAATGATTGCATCGCTTGTTGCCAGAAAAGGTCTCCCCGAGATGATGGGTACATCCCTGTCTTCTTCCATGTCCAAAACCACAAAATCTGCTGGGTAAACAAAGTTACCTACTTTCACAAGAACATCATGTAAGATTCCTTTTGGGTAAGTCAGAGATCTGTCTGCCAACTGCAAGGTCATGTTAGTAGGTACCAGAAATTTGTCCAGATCAAGGGATTTAAATACAGACAATGGCATGAGATTTATGCTTGCACCAAGATCTAGTAATGCTTTTGAAAATTCTCTGATTCCTACAGTGCAAGGAAGAGTGAAACAACCCGGATCTTTCAGCGTAGGTGGTAATTTTCTCAGGATAGCTGCATTACATTCTTCATTTAGAGTGACAAAAGCAGAGTTATGCAATTGTGGCTTATTTGCCCCCAAATCCTTCAAGTACTTGAAGTATTTAGGCATTTGTTTAAGTGCATCAACAAGTGGTACATTAATATGTATACTTTCTAAATTCTGAATAAACCGGTTGAGCCCTTCATCCATTTTTGCTTTCTTCTATCTTACTGGATATGGTGGCGTTGGAACTTGCTGTTGTGGTTCCTTAATTGGTGCTGGAAATTGAATTTCCTCCATTCCAGGTTTTTCAGCGGGTTGCTCCTGTTCAACCACGTTGTCATTATCAGATAATTGCTCAGAAGAAGTTTCATTCTTACCTGCAGGGTCACTCGCAGGAGTGACTTCTTCACTTGGCTGATTGAGTTGCTTTCCACTTCAGAGAGTGACAGCCTTCGCTTGCTCTTGGTCATTCCCCTTGGGGTTCACAATTGTATCACTGGGCAGGCTCCCAGATGGTCTTTCAGCATTTTGTTTTGCAATCTGGGCCAACTGATTTTCCAAACTTTTGCAAGACACTGCCAAACTCTTGATTGCATTTTGTACAGAAATCCATTCGTCTTCCCTTGGTATGTATTATTGGTTAGAACGTTGCTGATTCTGATAGTTAGGAAGCTGACCGTCTTGTCTGTGGAATCCTGGGGGTTGAGCAGGCCTTTGATAGTTTCCTTGTTGTGGTGCATTGTTCCGGTTGGTGCATTGCTGATTTCTCCAAGCTGTTGAAGTTGTTAAATCCCCAACATTGCCTGTCGACAAACTGGACAGCTTCCATTTTGGAGGGCGATCATCCAAGTGTGGGATCCATCACATAATACACATACTTCTGCCTTGGACTTGGACAGCTCACTTCGAGTTTAGTCATTTCGTTCATCATAACACCATTTGAGCTTGCAGATGTGTACTGGGATCAAGTTCCATTATCCCTGGCTATTTAGTACTTGCCCTTAGATCGATTGCCATCTTGAATGGTTGGTGGTCATATTGTCGAGCAAGCGCCTTGCTTTGCATCAACCGGCTTCATCATAAATACACCACCATTGCAGCATCAAGGGAGTCTCTTGTAGTTGGTAGCAGACCATTGTAGAAGATGCTCAGTTGAAGATGCTCTTCCAAACCATGCTGAGGGCATTTTCTGACCATTTCTTTCAATCTTTCCCATGCTTCATAAAGTGTTTCTGTTCCATGCTGCTTGAAATTCATTATTGTTGTTCTGAGTTGTGCAGCTTTTGCAGGTGGAAAGAATTTTGTCAGGAAACACTGTCTTAACTCTTCCCAAGTGGAAATGGAGTTGTTGGGTAATGTGTTGAACCATGCTTGGGCGTGATCCTGCAATGTAAAAGGGAATAGTCTCAGTCTAATGTCATCATTAGATAAGCCTTGAATTTTAAAAGTACTGCATAAACGCAGGAAACTTCGGATGTGATCATTAGGATCTTCATGAGGTAATCCATTGAATGGGCAGGCTGATTGAGTCCATTGGATCATCTATGGCTTGAGCTCAAAATTGGTTGCTTCTACATCAGGGAACACTAAAGGAGATTGGACTTCTTCTTGCTGTGGGATGAAGAAATCTCTAAGCAGTCTTTCTGGTCGATTTTGTTGATCCCCACCAGGGTTCCTATTGTTCTCCGGATTACCGCCTTGGTTTGCCATTTCAGATGAACCTTCCTGGTTATCCTGTTGCAACCGGTTCTGCCTTCTTCTTGCTGCTCTGGTTCTATGGATGGTAGCTTCAATTTCTGGGTCAAAAACAGGTTCACTTCGTTGGTGCCTTCTAGTCATACACCAAAGAAAAGAACTGGAAGCTTAGTGAGGTAACCAGAGAAGAATTTTATATATATATACACAAACAAAAACAACAAATTTTTGGAGGTTTTACGCCGTCCCCGGCAACGGCGCCACTTTCTGATGCTTGCCGAGTTCACCAAAAATATTACTAGCTTGATTATGATTCTTGTAGATAATGGAAGCTAGGTCGATCTCACGAGGATAGCTAATTACCAAATTTGTTGTAAAGAAAAACTGCCAGTCAAACAAGGTGTCACTCAGGAGAATGAAAACAGTCACTCAGGGGAATGGAGGCCAAGGGTGTTCTTCTCCTCTTCCTACTGTTGTAGTTGTTTTATTAGCACTGTAATGGTTGAGTTCTTGTTCATTCAGCTCACTTATAACTCTAAGTCAGTTCCCATTTTTCCTAGAGTCATCTTTGCAACCTTAACAACCTATTTTCCAATGATTGATTCAGCTACAAAGTCATTAAGTTCTTAGGCCTTCAAGAATGCTTATGTTAACTAAGTATATTCCTATCTTAGTTAAAACCATAGACTGTGACCTCTATGTCATAAGATAAAGTTGAAACAATTCAAACCGAGTTTATCCTTCCAGATCTCCCTTAGTTCTAGCATGCATTCAATTTAGTGATCAAGTAAATAAATGTAGAAAAACTTTCAACCCTAAAATAAGGAACAAAACCAGTGCTTTGACAACTACAACATCAGTTGAGGAGAATAACCCCTGGGAACAGTTTAGCTACTCATACAGATTAATGCTACATCTACTACATTGAAAGACATCATAGAAGTGTGCATAATAAACAAAGTTCAAGCTAACAGTCAAGAGATAAGAAGAAAGCTGTGCAGTTTCTGAGCCACTCCTAGGAGTGAAGGGGTTCACTCGTCGAACTGAAGAAGAAACTGGGTTGCTACTCTTCAACTTGGCTTCCTCACTGAGTTTTTGCTGCTTCTTCTTCTTTCTTGCCTTCTACCTGGAGTTTTTCTGGGTGTTTTTTAGCAACTGAAAGGGTAACCAGAGATTGAGAGATGGATCCCCCATGTGAGAGTGCAGTTCCCTCTTTTATAGGGCCTTGCAACCGGTGTCTTCATCATGAGAGCCTCCCCATGCTTGGAGTTGTTTAATCCTCCCAATGTCTTGAGCCTGCAATCCAACTTGGCCGTTCCTTTTCTCTCTTCTAGCAGTAGCCGTTTTGCTCTCATTGATCAGCAGTGGTGGCTGAGATTGCGGCTGGGGGACAAGCATGCCTCTAGGAGGAGGCAAGGTCATTAATGACAAGATGCATCTTGTCTAAGGGCCTTCTTCTTCGTCCAGCTCAGAAACCTTGCCTCAACAGCCCGTCAATTGCTCCTTTAGCTTCCAATTTTCGGCAATTATTCAATCCAGTCCTTACCTAACAATAACATGAAAACGAGCTAAGTAAATTGCACCAATGTTAGGAAATACCCCCAATTGTTCATCAAATACAAAGTTTATTGTGATGCTTTTATGTAACAATTTAGCCATTATCAAAGACACTAAACGTATTGCTGCAGCCATATTCCCTTCGATGATGGAATTCTGCATAACGGCTAGCAATTGGCTCAACTGATCGTATCTTTCGTTGTATACTTCTTCAGCAGATAGTGGAAACATCTCTGTGATTTGTTGCAACGCAGCTACCAGAGGCATTTCAGGGACCCTAGACGTTTCTTCTATTCTCACATAAGCTGCCGCTTTTGTTCGTTCCAGTCTAGCTTTGAGTGACTCTAAGGATGGAGGAGCTTTTTTCCCAGAAGCGGTTGGAGCGCTCGAACTAGACGTTTTCATTACCTTTTTGCTCCTGGCACCGCCAATATCAAGAACTGTTTTCTGCACAACCCGATCTTCAGCTACTGCGATGGAACCTTTCTTGCTGCCAGGGCATTCTGTTTCTTCCTCTTCACTCTTAGACACAGATACGGGATTCTCCTGTTCATACTTGGGAAAGATGAAAAATACTTGTCAGTATTCCGCTTAACAAGGTATCATAATACTGGCTATATTATTGTTACCTTATTGCTGATTTCAGTAGCAGACCGCTTCTTCCCAATCAACCTCTTGGATCGACGGGTGGAGGTTGGAGCATCCTTCCCTGTACCTTTTTTGCCCTGACAACGGCGGTTGTCAGTTCTCTTCGTGCTTGATTGACCGCCAGACTTTGCTGCAGTGTCTCCTTTTCTTTTCCTTGCAAATATTACATTCAGGCAAAAGGAGTGACACACAGAGATTTATTTACAGCGTAGATTTTGGCCAATAGTTGTCATTACCTTTCTTCTTTGTTTCTGCAACACCACCAACTGACTTGTTCTTTGCAAACTTGCCAATACCAAAGGAGGTTTTGATTGCCTCGAATCCAGAGCTATACATACCAATTGACAGCTCATACCACCAGTCTGCAAATCCAGGTGTTACATCGAAACAGAAATTGAATGGAATTGTTGCTGCTGACCTACCTCTCAGATCCATCAACACCCGATGCGTGGTGTATTGAGACATTGTGAGTTTTTCCCTACCAAGCCTCCCTGTATTCCAGCAAGATACATCAAAGTGCGGCACGCTCTGGGCAAAACCAAATTGCCGGGCTACCATGTTTGCTGGATAGTTTTCAACGTGCATATCCGCTACAACATTCCGGGATTGTGCACTCTTACAGCCATAAAACAGGTCCCTTACTGACAGCAGATGACTCCATACAGATGCCAGGCCGAATTTACCATGGCTGCTCCACTTTCCATTCTCTGCTTCAGCATGGCAAACTTCCCCAAAGCTTTTATGCCACCAGTCATGGCTAAGTTGTTGTACACTCGCCTCAATGTTAGGGGTCGATTCAAAGACAGTCTTGAAGACTTGTGTGGCATCATAGTTTGGTGCACTATATTGATGCACAACAAGGCACAAAGGTTCGCCACTCTCCACAGGATGGATACCTTTTGGTTTTAAGCTAAGAAAGTACATATATAACCAAAAATGCAATAACCACAAAGGGCCAGAGAGGGTATCAACAGGATTATGCCTGGCTTCATGCAAACAATGATACAACATAGCAAGTATCGCTTCTGCCAAGTTCATTTGTACTCCAGATGCTAACTTACCAACAACATGATACCAATCCATAGTCATTTGAAAGGATTTCCTAGGAAACACATACCTATTCAACCACATAGCAGGAAATCGGATATGATGTAACCGGCTTGTGTGCCCTTTGTTTTCGTTGATGAAAGGTCCATAGCTTCTGAGTTGCCCCGCTGCAGCTACAGCTGCATCATCATCAGTCACATGGCTATCCACAGCCACATCTGCAATAACAGGCAGACCAGTGATGACGCATACATCAAGCAATGTCGGTGTCATCGGGCCCCATAGAAAGCAGAAAACATTATTGCTCCCACTCTAAAACCCTAGTACGGCCTCCACCAAATCTCTACTTTCACCAAGCCCTATGGTGCAGAACTTCAACAGGTCATAGATCCCAGCCATCCCCCAAGTATCGGCGTATTTCGGTTCCAACTCGTGGTACCATTGGATGAAGGCCTTCTGGATTTCTTGTTTGTCTGACCACGGCCAAACACGCAGCCGTTCCCAATTCTCGAACTTACATGGATTTTCATACTTTGAGTACGGCGATTATGGGTTCAGCAGCGGAATGTATTCTTTCAGATTTTCCGATACCGATGGGAAATTCGGCCCAAGGGTTAACTGGCGTGCATCGAACTTAAAAGGGACAATCACTCGTTCTTCGGTCAGTTGTAAACCAACCACATCTCTGGGTTTCACACCATGAGTTGTGCCTTTGGCTCTATTAAACGTCATTGGGTTTACTGCGTCGGCTCCGGGCATCTTGGTGTCGATGATAGAAAATAAGGGTTTGTTTCGAATTGAAAGAGGGATTTTGCAGGTGTTGGTGCGCAGCTGCGTTTTTTGAACTTCTAAAATCAATTGATTGTTTGTGGTTTTGGTTCCGGATCTTTACAGTTTAAAGACAGCAGCATAACAACTTCAGAATTGAAAGGGATTTAGAATCGGAGAAGATTTAGTTTCCGTTGTGGAGTCAGAAACCCAAAACAGCTGTTGAAGACTATTACTGTTTCTTTCTCTCTCCAACGTTATTTTGTTTGAAATCCCTGTCAACGCTCAATAAGAGTGCAATCAAGAGCCGCTTAAACAAACCCGCGTCTGTCACACGCGCCTTTGCTAGGGGTGTTGGGCCGATCGATTTTTTTTTTCCTCCTTGGGAAGGTTTGCTGGATCGTCCCATTATTTTGGCTGAAGAATTGATAATAAGGCAAGCAAAGTTTGGGCTCCAGGAATCAAATTTTGCTTCCTTCGGGGGGCTTTATGTTGGACCGATTTTTGAAAAATCTGGTCCACATGAGAATGGGTCGATCGCAGCACTTTAATGGAGGAAGAATCGGGTTGAAACCTACCCTGATTAAAACTCGCGGATGCAACAAAGAGCGAGGAGGTCGAGCCTGAAAAGGAGTCAATGACACCGCAGTCCATATCGAAGAAGGATTCCAGGTGCAAAAGAAGTCCTTGTGGAATTTGACTTCGGTTGTGACTTAGCTAGGGTTGGCGGAACCTGTATAAAAGCAATCAAGGAGGCACTGGGAGAAGACAGAACTCATCATTCAAGAATCAGAATTTCATATTTTTCTTTACAGTTTTTATCTTTCGATTGTCAAGCTTTTAATATATTCTTTTATGTTTTGATCTTCTATCTTGTAATCATTTCGACGTTTCGGGCTATTCAAAGCCGACGTGTCTTTAATCAAATCAATAAAACCGGCTCTTGAAAGCCGTTTTATCCATTTTCCATAAATTTTCGTTACTCTTCTGAGTCACCGATTGAGTGTCAATTCAAAGGCATCAGTCTGTTTAGGTCAATCTCAGCATTTGGACTCCGTATTTCAAGAATATCACGCAGTCGTTTGAAATTAGTTTGAGCCGAATCGATCTCCACTCTCAAATACAATTTTGACTCAAACAGTCGTCTCCATCACCGAGCCACTTCATCAGCAACTTGTTTCCCATCCCCGTTTGTATTCCTCTCCTCACTCGTGTTCACCGTTTTTGCCATGGCGAAGGGCACTGTAGCAGGGGGCTATTGTGTGCCGAGAGAATACGGTGAAGAAGAGAGAGAAAGTTTAAATCTTGAAATTCTATCAACTAATTGGAGAATTTAATTGTAATCAAAATTTTTTAATGTTTATTTTCAATAATGGAGGCTTAGATACTCTGATTGGCTTACAACACTTTTGTTTATCATATATGATTGTCTTACGCAGCACCCAGGCAATGATTTGGGGTCGTACTTTGTTTCTAATATTATTTTTTGAAAGGGAAATTTAGAGTGATAATTGGCGGGAAGACCCTAATTTTATTAATTGAAAACATGAAAAAAGCACAAAAGGCGGTAACTCCTTGACGGTTCTTATACATACTAGCACTAAGAAGCAGCCTTACAAAGAAGTTTATCATATTATTATTATCATATATATTATAATAAAAGTGCTATAATGTGTCAAATGATTTTTTCTTTGTTTTTCTTTTTTTTTTTTTTTACCTAAGGGACTTTAAATACATGCAGTCTGTTGGTCATTTGCCCGTGGCAAAGATCTAGTTTTAATTAAGAAAAAAACATAAAATGTTGTGTAAAAATTGAAAGGAATCTTCACCTACGAGATGGAAAGAGGGCTCCAGTCCTAATCAATAAGATAAACAGTAGAAGAAGAATGTTGTTTCTCTCTTATTGAACTGTTTTATATAATAAAGAGGTAGGACAACTATGGGATAAACAAATTGAGATAGGAAGTCCGTAAATATTTTGTTAGGATGGAAGGAGTAGATCAATCTAGTGTAGTACATTAAAAAAAGGGATTTTAGTTTTGTTTTCTTCTCCAAAATCGGCATTGCTGTTTCTCTATCCCCTCTCTTCGGGCATATTTCAAACTTAGTTGGATTGATTTTGTGATTTTATTGGAAGAACAGTGGAGTTCGATTCACACCTCTCTAAATTATTTTACTAGATTCTCAAAACATGAATCCCCTTGTTTGAATTTGAAATTACTAAAAAGAAACCTAAATAAAAAACAAAGGAAATCCGAAACAGTTTAAGTCCTTCATCAATCATTGTCATGCGTGGAGAAATTCGATTGAGATGGAGGAAGGCTGTGGATTCAAGAAAGGTGAAAAGATTATGATGTATTGATTTATTAATTGAAGATTGAGGCAATTGTGTCTTTTTATTTTTAAAAATTTGTTTCGGATATTAAAAATTGTTTTGACAGGATTACCATCCTTATTTATTTATTATTTGCAATGGCTTTGTAACAATATCCGCAATGAAAACTCTAATGTAGTTCTGGTCACTAATTACTAAACGATCAAGTAGAACCCAATTAGTATATAAGTAGCGTAGTACACGAGTTGATTAATGGACAGTTTCTTTCTTCTTCAAGAGAGCAAAGAGAAACCAGAGCCAGCCCAATCCAAAATGAGTTCCTCTGTTCAAGATCCTGAAGTTTCACCAGAATTTCGTCAAGAACACAGAATTCCGGTTCTCGATTCCGCCGCTGTTCTTCAGCTCCTAGCGGCGCTGCGGCTCAATTCGGCCCCAATCAAGTGCGAAAACCACCAGGCAACCACCGTGGGGAAATGCACTGAATGCGTCTCTAACAAGAGACAATCCCCTTCTGATTTGTCTCCTGAACAACCGTCTTCCAAGAGGGCCGCCCACCACGACCCATCTTCCTCCGCCGCCAGTAACTCCGACGATCTACTTCTCAGCCCACTCAGTCCATCCACTGGTCTTACCCGGACTCTTTCTGCTCCAATTCCCACCAAGAATCTTTATGATCAATTCTCAGATGGTGCTTTGCCGGCCAATTCTTCGATCAGCAATCCCTTGCCGGAGGAGAACTCCGGCGTTAATTCTGCGCCCCTTATGACGCCGCCGTGTCAGAAACCTGAACAACCTCTTTACAGGACATACTCTGAACCCATTCCGGTGGCTCACCTGGCGGTTGCAACCTCCGCCACCCCCAGACCTCCATCGGAAGGAAAAGATTCACTCTTGGCGGGCCTTCAAAAGAAAGAAAGTCCTGCTTCAAAGGTTGTTTATTTGGTTTTGATATTATGTAATATACTGTTGAAATTTCTCTCATTTTCAATCGAAGTTTTCCCCCTTAGTTTCTTGCCAAATTGAACTGCCCAATTAATCTTGTTTTGTCATTTTTGCAGAGGTTCAGAAGGATGAAGGACAGACTGAGAGAAATGAGAAAACGGTGGAAAGAAGTCATCAAGGAAGGTGAAGAAGAGGAAGAGGACTCTGCCTCCGAAAATTATGAACATTGCCCATCAAAGGTAACCAAATAGTTGTTCTTTTCTCTAGCAAGAGTCATTTATTTGATCCATTCTGTTCTTCCTAGATCTCTTTACCATTCATTGTGCTGGAAGTTCTTTTGATTAGTATATCTCTGTTCTTTCCCTTTTCTTCTTGGAAGTGTGTTTGGATAACCTTCATGTAAAATCAGAACTCAATTTCTCCTTTGACAGATTACTATTTCTATGATAGTCCCTTTTTCTTGTCAGATTTGTTCTTTTTCTGAGGGAAATTGTTTCTCGATTTTGAATGATTGAACAGGATGATTGTGAAGCAAGTCAAGGGACTGAAGGGAGTGGAACTGAAGAAGCTTGTCATGATCAGGAAGCTGTGTGGGTGGAGAGGAAAGGGGCGGTTCTGATTCTCCATTTCAAGTGTCCCTGCAGCAAAGGCTATCAGATTCTCCTCTCTGAGAATAGTTGTTACTATAAGCTCACATCTTTCTGATCTCAGAAAGTATTTTTATGATCATCTTCGGCATTGTATTATCTTAGAATTCGTCTGCCATTTACTGCACATATAGTCCATTCAATAACAAGTCTAGTTAGACAACTGTCTGTCTGTTTGTGTTTGTTTTCAGAATTGTTCATGGCTAAAAGGGAAGTAGAAAGTGTAGTGGTACTGTTGAGGATACATAGAGTTGTGTTTAAGAGATATTCATTTGTAAGATTGTACTGCTACCTTTCCAATTTGTTTCTACTGACTGACTATTCAGTTGACAATGCAAGGAATTCCAGTTTTCCTGCACCTTCCTTTTTGTCACTTAATTATAATTGTGACTCCCTTTCGTCCCAAAATGATTGACGAAAGTCCATTAACTGCTTTAAGATTTTAGTGAGTGGAAGAAGAAGCCACCAACAACCTCTTGGAGTCTTGGGAGAAGATTCAAAGTTTCAATTAATTTCTCTCAATGTTAATCAACTTCCAGGAAACCATTTCCTCAGGGCAACAACTTGGTTATCTTTAAGTTGTTTAAAAAGCAGAACAAGGGTGCCTATTCTGTGACCAACAGGAAGCGAAATCGATTTCTTAGGGGTCAGATTGAGCTGTTTTAGTACCTCATCAGAACAGATGTCATGTTACGGATTAATATATGTAAATGTAAATATAGTTTAGTAACCAGTAAAGTTAGGAGGTAACTTTGTACTTTACTATATATACTACAAACCAATGTTTGCTAGATCGTGATCCTAAGTAGGATCGAAATAGGGTCATAGAATCGGATCGTAAATGGGATCGGTAGGATTGTAAAATTAACTATACATGTTATAATAAATAATTACTTAGATAATTAGATTTCAATTATCTTTATATAAAGTATTTAATATTTAAACTAAAAGAAATGTGTAAATTCAATTTTCTTATATGAATTTTTAGATAATTTTTTAATAAAAACTCTTCTCTTATAGTTCTTCTTTTCATTTTATTAGAAAGAATTTTTAAAATATATTTTTCTTAACAATAAAGGTTTCGTCAATAATATTAGCCTCAATTGAATGTGAACCAAAAGAAATAAGAGAAAAGAAAAATCTCAATAAGCTCAATTAATTTTTTGTAATTGATGAATAGTAAACTCGGACTAATCCTACGATCATGTACGATCCTGACCGATCCCACTCCAATCCCATTGCAAAATTCGAGTTTGATTGATCTAGGATCGATTTAGGTACCTGGTTGTGAGTTTGCAAGCTATGCTACAAACTCATCCGGAAATAGACAACACAATGCTATCCTATTAGGGTTTTCTCATTATTCTGTCATGGTATCAGAGCAAGGTTATTCTGCCGCCGCTTTCTACACCATTTTTTTTCTTCTTGTCTTCTCAATTCTTTCTGTCTTCATCCGATCATGACGCTGGTGCCGGATGCTACTGGCCCTTCTGGTGAAAAGGCTGCTGTGATTGGGGATGTCTTCGTCCGGTGAAAAACAATTTCTCCATACGATCTCTCGGCCAGTGATTATCCGGGTTTGATCATTTCTCAAGTTCAACTGAGAGGTGACAATTATACCGAGTGGGCTTCCTCCATTCGCCGTGCTCTCTGTGCAAGAAAGAAATTTGGCTTTGTTGACGGCGACATCCGGAAATAGACAACACAATTCTGCCCTATTAGGGTTTTCTCATTATTCTGTCATGGCACGAAAGGCGCTATAAAAGAGGCCAGGAGATATACCACTCCGGCAGAAGTTCTCAAAAACTCAGTATCTTGCAAATATCCATTACCCAACGTTGAAATGGACATAGCAATCTTCAAACCTTGCTACAAATTTCACGTATTCCATAACATCTTTATATTCAGCAACAGGTTTTACCAACATTCCATGTTACCCGGACTCGGGTACAAGTGTCCAACACGACATGGGATCTAAGTGTCGGACTCGTAAATTTTGTAAAATTAGGATACGTGAGTGCGGATTTAAACACGGGTACGGGTACGGGGATCCTTCTTACAATTAATTCAAGTTTTGATGATTAGAGTACCCAATTATAAATAATTTGGTGTTGGATGAAAAATTAGGAAGGTGATGATTATTATCATCCAAAATTCATATACTTTAACAATTAATCTAAGATATAAGGGAGTTTATTTTTAATTATATGAAATTTTAAGCCCTTATTAATTAATAATTTTATCATCTGAGATTTGGGCTGAGAGAAAAAGATGGTTTTATGGAATATAAAGAAAAGGAAATTGGACCAAGTTAGATTCATAGGCAAGTGGGCTTTTCTTTAACTTTTGAAGAGAAGGATCCCATTTTAAAATAAGGGGCAAAAGAAGCCCAGTCCATTGATGTTTTCTGCCTTCCTCACAATATTCTATCCTTCGTCCTGAGAAATATCTTCTCTCTACCTGAACAGTAGCTTCTCCTATCTTCCCTCATCTCTGGTCCAATACGGACACAGAGATGACTGAATCGGCACCACTAACCCTTGAGATTGACAATCCAGCCACCAAAAAAGTGAAGAACAGAAAGCCCCCCATTATAGAACCTTTGACTAACCCTGACTCCTCTGTCCAACAGGAGACAGATTCTTCTGAAATCCCACCTCCTCCTAATTCATCCCCTAACCCTGCTTCGAAACATCCTGCTGATGGCATTCCCTCTTTCTAGGACCGGCTTCTCCAAGGCCATTCTTCTCAATTCTCCAACGGCTTTCATATGACAACGGTGACAGTGGAGGAAGAGGATGTTACCTACGGAGAGGAAGACGGCGTTCCATCAACAAAATTCTCTCCGAGAGTTTGAGTGCAAATGACAATTGCCATGACCTACACCATAGTAGTGAAGCCTCTAGGAAGAAATTTCAATCACGACCGCCTCTTGAAAAGACTCAAGGGGCTGTGGAAGATAAAAGGTAAACTGAAACCGGTTGACACCGTAGATGGATACCACTTTTTTAGATTAACAACTGAAGAAGATTACTACTATATTCTTCTAAATGGCCCATGGTCTCTTGACAATCACTACATTATGGTCCTCCCCTGGAACACCACTTTTAGTACCCAAAATGACCACATCAACACTGTGGCCACATGGATTCGAATCCTGAGCTCCCAATCGACTACTTTCACGAGGATATATTGAGAAGTGTTGTTAAACCCTTGGGCAAGTACCTGAAGGTGGATAAAAACACTTAAACTATTGAAGGGGGCCAATACGCCAGGATCGCCGTCGAATTGGACCTCACTAAACCCCTGATCGGCAGAACTAAAATCGACCAAAACATATATACCGTAGAATACAAGGATCTGCAACTAATTTGTTACAGTTGCGGCAAATGTGGTCACCTAAAAGGGGATTGCCCTCTAAACGATCCCCAAAATCAGCCTTCCTCCTCCGCCGGAAGCCAATCAGCGCCGATCAACGTCACAAAGGGAAACAACAACGGATCTACTGCGGACCCGGTGCCAGACTCCAGCATGCCCTACCCCGAGCTTGTGCCTCAACCCCAAAAGCTCCCCCAATGGTCACCTACTATAGGCGAGTGGAGCCACGCCGTGAAAAGGGGAAAAAGGCATCAATCAACCAAAGGACCCATTTTCAAGAACTCAAACCCGATCCCAACGGGTCAATCGTCTAACCCCTTTTCCATTTTAGCAGGTGTGGAAAAAGAATCGCAAGGTGAAATCTTCAAATCCCCACCACCGGCAATTAATTCCTTATGGAATAGCAACACAACCAACTCCTTCTTCTCCTTCAGCTCGGGCAAAAAACAACGACCACAGACCCAGACAATCCAAACAAAAAGCTAAAGAACCAACCTCCAATCATACCCAAGAGGAGAGTACATCCTCGAAAAGAAAACCCGACCCTATAATAAGAGATAGGCATGGATCAAAAACTCATCCTAAGCCTATTCCAAATGCACAAGCCACTGAGCCCATTACTGTATCCGCCCACAAAGGCCCACTTTCCACTCAAGACACTCCTGAAATCCAAATCAACCCAACTACTCGACCCACCATAGTTAACAACCCAAATGAGGCCTCCCAACTACAAATTATTAACAACAACCCACAACACACTTATATCAACATTCCCCATCGAAACCCCTCTTCCAGCAAAACACACCCAACGGGCAATCCAGACCCCCCTAGTGATCTTCTAGTCACCAGAAAACCACCGGACCCCATGAAAGGCTTCCATTTGAAGCCGAAACTTAGATTTCACTCCCATACATCGCCCGGAATAAAGGACCCAGGAGATGTCACCATGGATAGTGAAGAGATGGCTATTGTCCCAGCGGAAACCATCTCAGATACTATTAATCCCCATCTGAGCTCGCCTATGCAAACAGAATACCTGCCGGACGCCGGGAGGTAATTCCAACCCCTTTCCAACTTTTGATTACGAGTACTAGAATTTTATCGTGGAATTCGCAAGGGATTGCGAATTTCAACACTACATCTGTCCTTAAAAGTCTGGTGAAACTGTATAATTTACATATTGTTATCCTATTAGAACCAAAAATTAGCGGTAATGATGCTAGTTGGATAATCACTCAATTGGGTTTTAATAATTCTCATAGAGTTGAAGCCGTTGGTTTCGCCAGTGGTATCTGGTTGTTGTGGAAGGATTCGGTCTCTATTCGTATTCTGGAAAATAATTGGCAATTTATTCATTGCCGAACTAATTTCAACGATAATTCTTCTTGTTATATCACTGTAGTGTACGGTAGCCCGCAAAGGCTAACGAGGCGTACATTGTGGTCTCATCTTGACTCTATTGCAGATACAATTCATGAACCATGGCTCGTTTTGGGAGACTTCAATGCGATCAGAGAATCTGCTGATAAAATTGGAGGAAGGCGCTCAAATGGCTGTAAAAACTTTCTTAACTGGCTGAATTCGGCTAATATGTCAGACCTGGCCTTCTCGGGTTCCCGTTTCACATGGAAAAACTGCTTCTGTCATGTCAAGCTAAACAGGGCCGTGGGAAATTATAAATGCGAAGAAGCATTCTCCAATACCTCAGTTCAACACCTTCCACAAGTGGCCTCTGATCACTCTCCTCTTGTAGTCCAATTCTCGAAAGCAAATGCCATTCCAATCCCTCCAAAATTCTTTCGCTCTCTGTTGGCCTGGGAAAGACATAACGATTGGTGCCAATGGAGATATGGAAACTAGACGAATAACATTGACCTTCCTGTAGCATTGATGGACCTTGCAACCAAACTG